GACAGAAGGATAGTTGCCGTATAGATAATAGCCTAGCAACTCCATGCCACCCAAGCCGGCTTGTGCAATAAGTGCGAGATCATGGCTATCATGAGGGAGAGGATTGAGAGGGGTGATTGGGAGGCTGAGAGAGATGGTGCGATTGAGGTGAGTCTTCTTGGCTTCTTGTTTCCTTTGTTAATTTGCGTTCCTTCAGTCCTTCATATTTCCTCTTCCTCTTTACACGTGTTTCTGCTGCCTGGGCTGACTTGTCATCATCTAATTATAGGCTATGTGCGACATTGCAATCGACAGAGCGGCTAAGCTGGGAGGTATTTAAGACACCACTCATAAATATCACGACGAGTATGGCACGAGTTAAGAAACTCATGAGGCTCCCCTTGACGCGATCTTAAGAGAATATAACAAAAACATCAGATATGCAGGTAGGTTAAGATACATTGAGCTGTGTGCGACCTTGCAGGTTCTCTTCCTTCACTGTTACTCCTGATCTTTCTTCAACAGCAAGATCATCCACAGCACGTGTACACTGTGAACCGTTGACTTCATTCTCAAGTTTTGTGGCATCTTCCAAGGTTCGCTTCTTTCGGCACGCTTTACTCCGACACGCCGAAAGGAAGCCCTACAACTGCGGAGAGCTTTTGGTAGCCGTGACGATCTTCTACAACCACAGCCCAGTGCTTCACCAAACCTTGCGACATAAAGCATACAGGCGGAAGCGATCATACCCTCCCCGCACCGCTTAATTGCTCGCAATGTGAAATGGTCACGCACGCATTGCGGCACTCGGAGAATAGCTCATCAATCAAAAAAGCTTGGATCTCAAAAGCAATGTACTTAGAGGCTACTACGTGGAGTCTGCCCAGCTCTCAGCACTAGGTATCCTTCAACAACTGTCAAACAATGATGGCCAAAGTTGGATTGGCTGCAATCGCAGTGTCGTTCATCACTAGCGCAAATGGCTTCAATACCGACGACCAAGTCAACCCTTCCATCCCATTCGGCAGTTTTGAGAATCCATCTGCCCATGTCAGGCCACGGTTCAGGTATTTCCAACGCCATTGATTCCCTGGGACAGGCCGCTGATGAGTTTTCCATAGATATTGGGTACCAGATGCTTCCGTCGACCTCACCGACGTTGAGAATGACTTCGCACTTATTGCACAAGCCGGCTTGGGTGGCATGGAGTTGCTAGGCTATTATCTATACGGCAACTATCCTTCTGTCGTCCAGGAAGGTGGTCCGGTTCCTGTTGACTGGACGACATATGGCTGGGGGTCTGAGGCATGGAGTTCGTTGCTCTTCAAGCATTGTCGTGCAATTCTCACCTGCTGACAAGTTTCTACAGAAGCATTGACGGAAGTCGCTTTACAGGCAACGAAGAAGCATGGGTTGATAATGGACTTCGCCTTGGGTCCGAATCAAGGAAGTGGAGTACCAGCTGAGCCTGACGATCCTGGCGTTCTTTGGGACCTCATTCCATTCAACGTCTCAATACCTCTCGGCGGCTCCTACGATGATGTTCTGCCTGGTTGGGGTACAGGAGAGCTCGTGTCTGCTTCTACGGCCCTGGTTCTCGACAGCACGCCCGTGCAACTGACAGCAGCACCTGCTTTCCTCAGCCAAAACTACAGTGGATCACGTTTCACTTTGGCCTCTTCGTCACTCGCTGACGTTACGGACCAAGTCGCCGAGGATGGCCGCATCCATCTTGATTTCTCATCCGCCGCCAATGGTACAGAGTATCAACTATTCGCATACTACCAAAACCACACCGTTGGTCTGGCACAGCAGTCTCCGCTCTATCTCAACACCACAATTCAGCAATCGCCGGTCACATCGTTCTTGCAAAACGGAAGCAGGTTCAACTCGCACTTTGATGTCGAAGGCGCCAAGCTGGTCATCGATTTCTGGGAGAAGTATTTGCTGGACTACAATAACACGCGAGAGTTGATTCGCGAGGTCGGCAACTACGGTTGGGAAGACTCGTATGAATTCGGTAACAGCATCTTGGTCTGGTGGACGCCTGCACTCGTCGATGCATTCCAACAAGGTCGAGGGTATAGCATCAAAAAGTACCTTCCGTTGATCTATTATCCTAATGCGCAGTCCGACGCTCCTCTCGCTTCGCCGCATTGGTACCAGACCGATGAGAACGACAAAGGTCAAGCCCATGTGGACGACTACAGACAGACTGTTAGTTCCACCGTGAAGTGACCAATCCTTCGAATTCCACAGCACTAACAATGTGCAGCTCACCGAACTCAATAAAATATACGTTGAGACTCTCACCAACTGGACAAAGGAGTCACTCAACTCGCAATACTCGGCGCAAGTGGTCTACAACCTTCCTATGGACATGCTAGCCAACATACCCGCAGTAAACGGTCCGGAGTGCGAGTCCCTTGGTTTCAACCATGTGATCGATGCATACAGACAGTTCGCCGGCCCTGCCAATCTCGCTGGCAAGCGCGTGATATCGTCTGAGCTCGGCGCTCAGCGCAACGAAGCATACTCTCAAACTATGCCCGAGCTTATTTGGGACGTCAAGCGTTCTATAGTCGGCTCTATCAATAACTTTGTAAGCTCTCTCCGGTCTTTCAATCATTCTTCGCAAGCTACGCAGCTGACAGCACCCTCACCAGGTCTATCACGGGTATCCATTCTCCGGTTCTTACCCGAACACCACCTGGCCCGGATACTCCACATTCGCATACCGCTTCTCCAACATGCATGGCCCTCGACAGCCGACATGGGAGTATTATGATGAATACATGAACTGGACCGCCCGCATGCAATACGTCGCTCAGACGGGTGTTCCTAAGATCGATCTTGCGTTCTGGCTTAAAAAGGTGCAATTTTTCGACAAAGCCTCACAGTACCGTCCGAATGACCTTGTCGAAGCCGGTAAGTCACGTTTTCAGAGCCACAGCGATCGATACTTGTTTTCTAACACAAGCCAGGCTGGTCATACGAGTATCTCAGCCCAGACAACCTCGTCTTGGAACCCGAAGCCTACGTTTCCGACGAAACGCTGGCGGCCGCCCGTCAAGCCTTCAAAGCGCTTGTTCTACGCGGCAACGACACGTTGACAGTGGCGGGTGTGGACAAGCTAACGCAGTACGCCCACCAAGGTCTGCCCATTGTAATTTCAGGTGGAACGCCATTCAACCTGTCCGGATACAACACCAGCGGCTCGGCATATGTGAAAACAACATTGGCCGCCCTGACAACACTCGAGAATGTACACAAAGTGCCAGCGGAAAATCTATCCGCATCTCTGATCTCCCTGGGCCTTGCTCCTCGCACAAGAATCGATGCCGATCGTATTTGGTATACGTACTGGCGCGAGGACGAGAAGGCGGAGAAGACTTACGTTTTCGTGTACAATGATGCTTGGGACAGTGAGTTGGGGCTCGGAAGCTCGAGTGGATCCGTGACGTTCGAGACGACCGGCGTGCCGTATTTCTACGATGCCTGGACTGGAGCCATCGAGGCTATCCGCGAGTATGAACAGACTGAGAAGTCTACTATCATCCCTTTGTCCTTGGCAGGCAATCAAAGTACGATCATAGGCTTCCATCACGGCGAAGCTTCCAGCAAGTCCAAGCATGCAGACCTGCCTGACTGGCAGGAGAGCGGCAGCAAAGCCAGCCACATGCACTCTAGCATTCGCCAACACCCTTACGACGAGACTTCAACAAAGAACCTCCCCTTAACTTCCTGGAGCCTCACCATCGAATCCTGGAGCGCACCAGAAAACCTCACAGCCGACCAAACGCTCTCAGCAAAGACCAACTTAACCTACCAACTCCCCTCTCTCCAGCCCTGGAACGCCATCTCCGACTCCATCACCAACACCTCCGGCCGCGGCTTCTACAACACAACTTTCACCTGGCCACCCGCAGATTGCAGTCCGGAAGATCGTAGACGTCACGCACTCCTCGACCTTGGCGCCATGTCCAACACCGCCCGCGCTTGGCTGAACAACCATCAACTCCCGCCTCTGGATCCTACACATGCCGTTGCTGATATCTCGGAGTACTTACAGGAAGGCGAGAATGAGGTTCGCGTTGTGGTAGCTACTACTCTCGGGAATGCAGTCAGACCGCTCTGGGGCGAGTTGAGGAGCAGTGGGACGCTGGCGCTGGGACCGCTGCCTGTGGTGCAGGAGTACGGGCTGGTTGGAGAGGTGAGCGTGAAGTATGCGTGAAAGGAGAATGAAAGAGGAGTGGTTGTTCCCGCAAGGACTAACGTTGGTTCATTGTTTGTGGTCATTGTTTGTGGTGGTATCATCGACTTTGGTATATTCGAAAGGTGACTTCGCCAGTGAGAGAGCTACATTTATCTCAAAAAACGTCCAGTCTCTCGTTGACTCGGAGCTTTCTCCTGAACTGCTCGTCTCTCATTGGAACGAGTGAATCTTTGTCGTCCTGTCATCGACCTGTCATCGACGTTAGCATGTCCTAAAGGTGACCTTGCCGGTGAGAGACGCTGTCTTGAATACCTATCAGTCTCTCGTTGGAAAGGCTAAATCTTCGTGGTAGTATCATCGGCTGTAGCATATTTAAGAAGCATCTTTGCCAGTGAGACATGCGGTCACTAATGTCAGTCTCTCCTCGTCGCGAGCCATTCTTTGAGGTAATTTCCTCTACTTTGGTATGTCCAAAAGCTAAATACACCAGTGAGAGAGCCCTTCTCAATCTTTAGGTATCTCGTCGGCGGAGCTAATACCATCGGTGAGGTCGACGGAAGCATCTGGTACCCAATATCTATGGAAAACTCATCAGCGGCCTGTCCCAGGGAATCAATG